TTCCTGTTATCCCTAGTTTTTCTAGTGTTTTGAACATAAATCTGAAGAGTATTGGTATTAGTTTTTCTTTAAAGGTCTTATAGAACTCAGCTATTTATTTGTCCAGTCCTGGGCTTTTCTTGGTTGGTAGACTTTTGATGGCATCTGCTATTTCATCACTTGAAATTGATCTGTTTAAATTGTGTATATCATCCTGATTCAATTTGGGCAAATTATATGACTCTAGAAATTTGTCGATGCCTTCGATATTTTCTATTTTGATAATGCTGATGAAGTTAGCCAGTCCCCAAAAAACAAATGTCAAATGTTTTCTTTGGTATAAGGAGGCTGATTCATGATGGGATAGGGAGAGGGAGCATGGGAGGAATAGAAGAATAGGAATAGAGGAATAGGGCAGAGGGGTTGGAGGAGAAGGGAGGGGGCATGGGGTTAGAAATGATGGTGGAATGTGATGATCATTATTATCCAAAGTCCAGGTATAAAGACCCGAATTGGTATTAATATACTTTGTATACAACCAGAGATATGAAAAATTATGCTCTATATGTGTAATAAGAATTGTAACGCATTCCACTGTCATATATAAATAAAAATAAATTAATTAAATAATTTTTGACATGAAATGAAGGTGAAATCTTATTACATAGTAGTGAAATAATAACTTCATATGTTTAAGGAAAAAATTTATTCCTATCTTTAGAATGGAAAAATATATTTTTTTCTGAACCTTTTAGTTAACACTATTGTGAGTTTAATTTATTATAAGTTTTACAGTTATTATTAGAACTAGCCATCATCATTAGACTTGTCAAGAAAAACTGACTTGTATTACAAAATTTAGTATCTCTTAATGATTCTGCACGCATGATTTATTATTTTGAGGGGGTAGTCATTTAAAATATTTGGGCATTTGAGATGAATATAAATACATCTTTTAAATTAGGAAAGTGATCCAAGATTGCTGTGTCATTTAGAATAGCAAAGATAGAAATAATGTACTATAATTTACTACTTAATTTATAATTTTATGTACATACAAAGAATATTTTCAAATAATTTTGAGTTATTAATAGACATGCCTGATTTTGTTTTACTTGTACACTACCAAAATGTAATTAAAGAAAGTATAACTTTGAAATTAAAATCCAAATTTGTACTAAATACAACTTCAGATCTTTGCTATAATAAAATGGGACTTGTAAATAACCTAGGCTTTTCTGTTTGTTTTTTAGTTATTAAGTCGAAAAGACAAAACTACCTTTGAAAAATTAGAATATGTAATGAGTAAAGAAGATAACTACAAAAGACTCAGAGACTATATAAGTAGTTTAAAGATGACACCTTGCATTCCCTATTTAGGTGAGTTACATCACTGTGTGTTCGTTATTCCTAGTTGTTGCTTTTCCTTAATTCAGTAATTTGAATGAAATTCAAGGCATTGTAAAAAGCATATGTATCCTGAAAATAAATCATTGCAAGATTGCTAAGCTGAAAAAAATTGATTAAAGGAAGCTTTTGCTTTATTGTTTAGAATGTATTTTAATAATAAATTAGCCTTTTGCCCTTAAAGTTTTTTCATAGACAAAATCATTTTCTTCAAAATGGGCTAAATGGTAAAATGGTGTTTTAATTATCTTTTAAAGAATGAGATGGTAGTTTATAATGAAGCTTAATATATGAACTGAACATTGATCAAAGTTCTTGACAGATATTTCAGTGTGAGTTCTGAAGAGTAAATCTCAGTGTATATTGGTATTATCGTTTGCCTGGATAAAATGAGTCATGTAACTGTAGAAATTTAGCCTAGTACTGGGACAGTTCTGTATTTTATATATCATATTATTAAAAAATTTATCTGCTTACTATATATCTTATATATAGTAAATATAAATAAAAAAATTGTTTATAAATATAAAAAACTATTTAAACAAAAACTATTTAAACGGTTATTATTAGGACTAGCCGTCATTGGACTTGTCAAGAAAAACTGTGACTTGTATTACAAGCATTATAATACTGTTTTCAACAAAATATGAATATAACACTTTTAGGTGTTTGAATGAAGTCTCAAATAAGCTGTCCTTTTACATTTGTGTGTAAATTAAATATGTAGGAAAAAACCTCCAGATGTATATATGTAGCATGCACTAAAATTGATTGATCTGATCCTAGTAGAGAGTAAACAAATGATAAACAGTTGTTTTTTTCTATATCCATATCCCCCATCTTTACTTTGTCTCTTATATAACTGTTCATATGGGATTTCAAGATAATTATTTCTGTAATTGAGAAGTCTGTTGTTTAAGAGTCTCCCACCATGTGACTCTAAAAGTCTTTGCAATATCAGTAACTAGAAGACGAAGCAGGGCCAAAGGCAATGGATATACACCCATTCAACTTCCATAGAGTATCAGCCTTAAAAAAAAAAAAAACAAGTTGAGCTCATTAGAACATTGTGGGATGTCCAGTAGGAATAGGGACATGTTGTGCAGAATAGCCTAGTTAGCCACTGCCCAGCATGTGTTCTACTTTTTAACATAGCCATGGTGTGGCCATACATGAAAATGTAAATTGGAGAAAAGGAGGAATAGAGGATTTTTTTAAGTAGTATCTTCATAATTCACAAGAATATAAGCTTTTATATCATTAAGAACATTAGACTGAGAATTGCCAATCCTTATTTCCAAACGGGCTCTACTATACCTAGCTTTCAAATCATTGATTTGAACTTTTTTCACTTTACCTAGAAATAGCATGCATAGGATCATAGAACCATGTTCTTTAGGCTGGATGGGGTCATCTTGATATCTTTTAATATACTTAGTTTACAATTTAGAAAATCAGGGTCCAGAAAGGTGGGAGAACTGGCTCACGATCCTAAGAACTATTAATTTGCCACCTAAAATCTTGACCTGACATGCTCTAGTTGCACCTGCTAAACATGATAAAATCTAACAGATCCTGTGATTGTTTTCCTTTTCATTGAATTCCATAATTTTTAATCTTGTAGGAAAAAAATTATTAAAAGTGAAAAAATGACAAATGAACCCTTAAGCTATGCAGGGAGTGTTGTTTTATATTTTTCCATAGTGAATACTTATTACAGAATTTGAAGCTCTGTGTTTGTGTGCATGTACACCATGTATATTCATGTACACTTTCATATGTGTACACAGAAAGATGGGGCAGAAACACTAGCAAAGTTGCTCAGTGGAATCCAGGAAGGTTTTTTCTGTTAGAGACTATAGCTGTTCTCTCCCAGAGAAATACTGAGTTGCAGATAACTAATTAATTAGGAGAAAATATTAAAATGATTATCTTCTGTATCTTCAGTTGATCACTTAATGACTCCTCTTCAGTTTCCTTTGTTTTTATGTTCTCATGACTTAATAAGGTCGCCACTCCCTTACTCTGGGCTGCACGTGAAGCAGAAGAACATCATGACCAAAGGGCTTGTCACAGGAAAGCTACTCAGCCCATGGTGACTAGAAAGCAAGGAGGGGATTTAAGAAAGATGAACCCTTCCAGGGCTTGCCGCCAATGGCCACCTCCTCCAGCCATACCCACCCGCCTGCAGTTACCACCCAGTTAGTCCATTCAAACTATGGTGGACTGATTACATTACAGCTCTCACAGTCCAGTCATTTCAGTTCTGGGTGTTCCTGCCTTAACATCGGAGCTTTTAAGGGCCACCTCATATCCAAACCATAACACAGTCTTCATATGTTTCATCTCTATCCTGTCATGTGATGAAGCATATAGATTGTGAGATGATTGTGGACTATTTGGCATAAATACTCAAAAATAAAATAAAATATTAGCTAAGTTACTATGACTTAGTTTAGTTAGATTCCAGCATGAAAATCATCATTTAATGTAGTGACAATTTGGTTTTCTCAAGAATAAGTGAGGCAAACTTTTTTTTTTTTTACAACTTTTTAACTTCTTGATTTACATCTTAGAAAGATAGTTCATTTTTTTATTCCTGATCTTCAGTACTAAAGTGTGTTGAATGCAGATTTTAATTAACCTTAGCTTATTTTCTATTATATTTACTTTTTCTTATTTTATTCTAATTTATAATTAAGTCTTGATTTTTTAAAATTTAACTTGCCTTGATTTCAGAATCCTTTCCAACTCATCTGAAAATTGGCTTAGTTCTGCTGCCAAAAATTTAAGCATTTATAGATGCTGTACATTTAATAAGATAGACCTTGCCCTGAAGACATTTGGAAGATAATACTCCTTATACAATTTGGTGTCTTCTAAAACTGTTCTTCTTTAGGTATATAAGATTTGCATAATGCTACCCTTTATCCCTTATATCTACAGAGGTTCTTATGGAAAGAATATATCAACCAAAAGAATCTATAGTGTATAGAGAAGAGGTAATGACTCTTTCTCAACATGAAACAGGTAGTCTAAACTGATAGTGTTTTTTCCTGCTAAAAATAAGAATCCAAATCAACCATTCTTTGTGATGCTTAAAAAAAGGTATAGGTTTATGTGGTGATAAAACCCTTAAGTTGTTTGTTGTTGTTTTGGTACCAGGGGTTGAACCCAGAGGTGCTTAACCTCTGAGCCTCTTTATTTTGAAACAAGGTCTTGCTAAGTTGCTGAGGCTGGCTTTGAACCTCAGCCTCCCAAGCCACTGGGATTAGAGATATGCACCATTGCACTAAAACCCTTGTTTTCATACTGCCAAATGTATCTGTAATTCAGTGTAGATTGACTTATAAGAAATAGAAAATGTCTTCTTGGCTCCCCACTCCTCATCCCTTGAAATATTGCCTGTTCTGTTAGTTTGCATTCCAAAGTAAAAAAGTAGTCAGCCTGGACAATATAGTGAAAAATTCTTAGCGCAAGGATGCAATTTGTCTAGAGAGGAATAGTTTGGCAAATCTTAAGGAAAATTTTGTTTTATGTGAGAATTATTGCTTTAAATCTGAAAGTCATTAACAGTACTCATTTGTTCTTGTCATTGGAAAACAATCTTAAAGGGCTTATTGAAGAATTTGGCATGGGATGTTTTGCTTTGCTTCAGAGATAGAACAAAATTGTACAAAAATAATTTAGTTCTGTTAAACATGGTAAATACTCCTTCATCTGTGTTTTCTAAAGCCTTGTTTCTATTTTATTCATACAATGGGAAAATGCAATAGCTCAGCCAGAGCTTTCTCAACCAGGTAGCTTTCTTGGAGAGAACACATATTTTTTTTAAACTATGGAAATAATTGTTTTAGTACTATATATTGCATCCTATTAAGTAGAAGCAGAATGTTACAGAGGAAGTTTTTATAAAATCTCTAGCCCTTTTGTAGGAAGCTTGTTGGCTGTTTTGATATGTCTAGATGCATAACTCCTTACTTTAAAGAGGCAGATCTCTCTCCCTTTCCCCTTTGCATTTTCAATTTAAAATAGCAAGAGAGCTGCCTCTATCATAATCTTCTGTAATATCAGTCTTACTCCCTGCTTTCTGGAAAATACCCTGTTTTATTTCTATAATTTTTCATTAGTCATCTCACCTCCAACAAAAGTGGAAACCCTTGTTTGTCTTGGTTCAAGGCTTTAGCATATGATCAAAAGTAAGAATTTAATAAATATTTCTTGGTTCAATGAATTAACTTAAAGGATCCTTTTCTAGCTCTTGCTATTGTTCCAGCAACTTTGTTTTAATTTTTGTTTAACTACAATAAATGTATTTGTGTGGCATATTAGCATGGATCAACTCTGTACTCACCCCAGTTTTCTCTTGGTGCCTCAACTAGTAACCAGCTTTGCTGAGCACTGTGCTTGGTCCATGCCTTTGTGGGACTTAATATCACTTTAATAACCAAAGTTCAGGTTGATATCATTGCCTCATGAAAAACTCTCCTTTATGCTGTTTTGGGAGAGGCATGTCGTCATCTTTTGTATTGCATTGTTAGTGGTATCTTCATCACAGTTAACAAAATTTTTAAAACATACCTAAACTTAGAAGAATCTTAAGATTGTTATCTTTTTTTTCAGTCATTTATGCATGTATTGCCATGTGGAATACTGTTCTCAGAATATAGTTCTTTAATTTTACATTAATTTAAGAAATTTCTTTTAACCTATTACAAATATTTTTAAATAATAGTTTCAGATAATTTCAATAAAGCCCAAGACTTTCTTCAATTCTGTATGAATCAATGGGCTGTTTTCATTTCCCTTTGATATAATTTTACTTGATTAAATACATAAAAGATTCTGTGATCTCAAATGCCTTATGGTATAAAACTGACACTGGCTTTTAATATTTTAAGAATTTTACTCCATTTTATTTTTTTGACTTGACTGGTAGACAGTACACCATGGATTACTTGGCCCTATTGTTT